TCTCACCAGCTACACCTGCTGTGGGTGGAAACAAACACTTCCCTGCTCTGTGTAGAAGAACCCAAAGTCCTAGGCGAGCCACACAATGTGAAGGTGTTTTTAGACAAGATTTGAAGAACATCTGTTGTCAATAAATGCAATTATTTTGAAGGGAAATAAGTTCCTAGTGCTTCTCTCTGAGGCCCAAGATGTATCTTATGTTTTCAACCCTCAACCAACTGCACATTACTCCAGCACTGCTTCAAGCCATGGAGAAAGCCAGTGCTTTCCTCTTTCCTTTGACTGACATCTGTAGTCCTTCTGTGTGCCTCAGCCCAATCATTGTTCATCCAAGAGCCCTGTTAACTTGTCCCAGAGAAACCTCTCTGCCCTTTGTGCCAGGAGCAGTATTCAGAGGTTTTAACATGTGAAAATAAGGTACATTGGTATGATTATGAATGAAACTGGTTTAAATATCATGGTTAAATCTACTGGGATTTTCTAAGGATTATTCAGCACTTTTTCATAAAAAGTATGCAAAAAATCTCTAGAGGAGAGCCTGCCTGCTGTGCAAGTCATGCAGAAGGCAGGTACATCTAGAGCACGTCAGGTCCTATTGCTACCCACGCACCAAACCATTTTCCTGGTTAGTCATCCTTTCCTACCCTCCTTCTCAATGCAAACATTGCTTTCCTAGCACTCACGAAACTCACCCCTGGTGCTGGCCTTATGTAAGTGATTTCGACATGGAGAGCTCTGTCACAAGCACAATGGACACGTGATGCTCCACTTAGCCTCTGGTAGCCACCCTGCATGTCAGCATGGCCTCCTGGGTGGCTCTTTGGGACTTGCACACAGGCCTTCATCTCTTACAGCAACCCAAGGCTCTTACACACCCCTCAGGGGTTTCAGCTTCTTCCTGGATTGTCCTCATCACCTACAACTCTGCCAGTCCCATAAGCACAGCACCCACCGAACATATTCACCCCTGTCCCTTGTGCATTCCATGTATCCATGCGCCTATCACCAAGGTCTGTATGGATTTACCTGTGCCCTTGCACTGAACTCCCAATCTACTCTCCTGTTGTACTGCATGCACCTAGTGCTCCTTGCACACTTAACCTCCCTCACAGCAAGAGGCAGATAATGAGAGATGCCTTAAGTCTTCATAAACTTTTCTCACTCCTCATCACTCTTCCTTCCCCCATAAGTGGTTTTCCTTCTCCCCACACCCAGGTCTGCAATTATCGCCTGTACTTCCCTGATTTCCTTTGAGCATGCCGTGTACACAAATCTCTCTTATCAGACACAACTTTTCCCTCCCTTCACCTTTCTTTGCACAGCCCTTTCAAGCAGGCACATCCTGACAGGTCCCTTCCTCATTCTCACACTGCTGTGTGTCAACCCACACTGAGCTCCTCACTCCTTATAACAGGAACTGTCATTCCCATCCACTTCCACCTCATGCCCTACAGCTCCCAACTCCACTCACCTCCTCACACACTTCACACTTTACTTTTGGCCTCAGCACAGCCATGTGGCTTATACAGCCCTCCAGGTAGTTTTTCCTCCCATTCCTTCTCCTCCCACCCCTTTATGTCTATAGCCATTTCTCCAGCAGCACATTTGTTCCATTCCCTCTTGCTGTTTCACTCAGCCAATACCTACCACAGAGATATAAACACATTTGTTACGTCTGTTGCAACAGAAAATTGCTCCTTTTTGTTTGTGTATGTTCTCCTCCTCCCACAGTCTTCCCATTATTCCTTGCTTGCTGTTCCTTGCCCCAACTGCTTCCCCTGTAACTTACTGCCTATTCTTTCCCTGTGTTGCTCCTACTCCCCAGCAAAGAGGCATCCCCAGTTCTGCTGAACAAACCACTGCACCTTTGTACCACTCCCTCTCTTTGCCTACTAAGAAACACACCCCCAAATTTCCCTTCACTCTCTGCTCTCACTCTGTGTCTCCTCTAAACCACCTCTATCCTAGGCATTACAGAAAACATAGGTCTTCATTTTATCCTCATTCATGCCTCCTACATTCCTTAATTTTTCCTCATTCTCATGCTCCTCAACACCTGCCATGGCTTTATATCCTTGCTGTAGTTCATCCTGCCCCTGTGACTTCCACTCTCTTGAATTTCTTTTCACCACTTCCCCATGGCTTTTTCCCCAGTTCTGTCTTTCTCTTGCAGGCAGGCAGCACACTCCAGCAGACTTTCAGCCTGATCTGAAATATCTCTAATTAGTTACCCCTTCACATACTTACAGGACCCTTTTTCCCTCACCCCCTCATCACACCCTATCTCCATCCAGCTAATTTTTCCCTCTGTGTTCCTGTTCTCGGCACATGTTTCCATCACCATGCAAGCCTTGCCTTTCATACTCTGATACCTTCCTTGTAAATACATCCCCATATCTATTTCTTGACAGAATCAAAGGTGTCTCCTTTTGACGCCCCCCACAAGCATCATATAGCAGATTATTGTTCATACCTTTCTCCAAATAGCTAATACTTCACATTTTAACTCCTCCTCCAAACATCCTTTGTGCTTTCACTTTTCTCCCTCCAGTCCCACTCCACACTCAACCTCCCCCTTGCAGACCCTACCACCCTTGTATGTCCCTTTCATATCCTCATTCAGCCTCCGGCCTGTACCTTTTCCTATCTCTCTCTCGTGTTACTTCCTCTTGTGAGCTCCTAAACTTTCTGCCACCCACAAAGATCCTCTTTTTCCAGTTGATGTGCAGCAGTTTCCCTTTTAAGCTGACCACCTTTGCATGTCTCACCTGCCTTTATTACCCCAGTGCACAACAGTGAACATGTAGCACTTTATTTCTGTGGTATTACACCTTCCCTCCAGTTTTTATATACCTTTATGTGCACCATTTCATTTTTTGTTCCCCGAAGAGAAAAACACTCCAACCCACAGCAGAACAATACAAACAAAACCAAAACCCCTTAAACCTACGTGTTCTGCATACTTCAACATGTACACAAAGCACCCCCCTGCTGGCTCTGCTGGTACCTCCACTTCTCCCCATGTTTTGGCTCCACCTGCAATCATGCCTGGATTTTGTCCCCCCCACCATGCTCAGACACAGAGTCTCTGGTATTTACACGTGTATCTCAGACCAGTCTTTTTACTACCAGCAGCTGGGACCATGCTGAGCTCTTCCATTCTCTCATTCTCTGCTGCTCTGCTTTTGTCTGGCAAGGCTTTTCTTTTTCTTTTTTTTCTTTTTCTTTTTCTTTTTCTTTTTCTTTTTCTTTTTCTTTTTCTTTTTCTTTTTCTTTTTCTTTTTCTTTTTCTTT